TGTTGCAGGTGGTGTTGGCCCACTCACCTTGGCCTTCCACGGCATTCCTGGTGTGCTTTCCTAGGGTTCCTGCCAGGTTCCTCTCCCCAGAATGACCCCAGCTCTTCCTCTGAGTATCTGTGAAGTGTGACCACCTGGCACCTCAATGCCCCTTTGCTGCCTGTGAAATCTGCCTCTGCCTTAGGGCACTGGCACTCCAGTCAGGAGCCAGGAGTTTCCCTTGTCATGCTTGGGAGTTTCCCAGATCTGTTCCCTTAGCCCAGGCTCTCACCAGGCCCTAAATCAGCAGCCCATGTGCATTTGAGCACCACCCCAAGGTATGTGCTTTTTTCCTATCCTCTTCCAAGGCTTGAGGTAGCAGGTTCTTCCAGGCCATGGTGGCTTAGAGCACTTTCCTCTCTGACCAGGCACTTTGGAGCTCTTTGGAGCCACTGCATCCCTTTGTGCCCCCAGGCTCGTTCTGCAGGTGCGGAATATTGAAGTCTTTACCTTGCCCAGGTGTCAGAATTCAGTCAAAAAGATGGTTCCCTGTGATGATTGGCAACTTTACTTCAACCACTAGAGGAGAGGAGTGTGGTCAGGATAGAGCAGGGTTTTGACCCTGAGGCTGCCTTTGGATCAGCAGGCATTGCCCCAGCAGGAAACACTTGCTGTGCACTGCAGCACGCCATGGAGGCTGCTCATCCTGGTGCTCAAGAAGCACTTTAAACATTCTCTGTGCCCATGTGAGCCACAATCCAGTCATAGAAGTACTGAGTGGAGGTGTAGATTCCAGGCCGCTTTGCTCTGGCACAGCCTCTTCCCCAGCTGGTCACTCCAACAACCCAGAAGAAGTCACTGTCTTTCTCCTGGCACATGAGAGGACCACCACTGTCACCCTGCAGCAGAGCACAGAGGATTCAGGTGGTTATGGGTAGCCTGTGCCAGCACTGGGGCTGTCTCCTTTTCTCTCACAGCCCATGCCAGAGCTGTATCCAGGCACTTGAGCCTCCAGAAATCTAACTGCAAGTAGCTTGGGGTCCTGTAGGGTAGGGCTCTCTCTGTCCTCTCTGCACAGGGCTTCTGGATGTGCAGGATGTGCAGAGGATGTAACATTGGCACCTGGACCTCTGGGCTACAAGGAACCCTAGCTGGGCTTTCTGGGCTTTCTGGCACAAGGGGAGGCCTGGGCAGGGAGGTGTGGATGGGCAGTGTGTGGGAAGCCCCCACAGCAGTCAGGGGGAGCTGGGGCTGGGAGGGTGAGTGAGTGGCCAGGCAAAGCAGGCCCTGGGCTGTGTTGGGGTGGTGCTTCCCTGGCTGCTGGTGCTGCTGGAGGCTGAGTGGCTCATGGCACGTTCCTACCTGGCAGGTGTCGATGCGGCCCTGTGGGTAACCAGCACACACATTGTGGGTATGGACTTTCCCTGCGTACCAGCCAGTGCTGTTGCAGAGCTGGACATCGATGAGCTGGACCTTGGCCTCTTGTAGGACATCACTTGAGTTTTGAGCTGTGAGCAGAGAAAGGAATGATCCCCCTGTAGGTCCTTGCCAATTCTGTTCTGCTGCTTTAGGGGGATCTCCTTTCCCAGGGTTTGTCTTTGCCTCTGCAGAGGCACTGGGGCACTGTGACCCTGCTGCCAGCCTTAGGGGAGCAGGCCAGGCCCGAATCTATAGAGGTGTACATCCTGCAGCCTGGCTTTGGCCTCTGCTCTGGGGAAGCCCATGCCTCCTCCTCAGAGGGCTGAGCTTGCTCTGGAGTCTCTCTTGGGAACTCACCTCTTGCAGCAGTGGCACCCCAGCCGGCCACCCAGCAGTTTTGCAGCTCTGACAGGCTTAGGGCAGGGTCAGCCACACAGGCCACCTGGACATAGGGGCTGCAGTCAACAGGCTTGCTCAGTTTCAGCAAGGCAATGTCATTGCTTTTGTCACTTGGATTATAGTTTTCATGACGTATTAACTTCTTAATCCGTCTCAGTTGTGCTCCAGGTCCTGGCTTAGTCAACTGGGTGGCCCCAATCACCAGATACACCACGCCAATTTTCCTGGAAAGTACATGGAGAGAGGGCTGAGAGGGAGTAGAGCCATGTGCCACAGCAGCCCAGCAGTTGCCAGACCTCTGCTTGGCAAGGCAGAGAGGGAGCAGTGCTCTGGCAGGTGTGAGTGCCTCCACACATCTTAGGCTGGGTGAATGTCAAGCTGGAGGCTGCTAGGAAGCCTTGGCATGAGCCCAGGCTTCTCCTGAGCACAGTGGCAGCCTGGCTGCCTGAGAGGAAAGGGCATGGGAGTAGCAGGTGGTGCTGCTGGCAGGGCACCTGCTGGTGTTGTGGAGATGTCCCTATTTCTGGAATCTTTTTACCTGATGGGGTCAAAGCAGTGGGCTGCTGTGAGGACCCACTCTGCAGTGATGAGAGACCCTCCACACAGGTGTCTTGTGCCTGGTATTGCAGGATGTTTAAGGCTGACGATCCAGGGCCAGGCCCCTGGCTTGGCATCTGCACCACCCACGACGCGTGTTGTACTGTCATCGTGATCCAGGTACTCATACTCATACACCATGGGTCGGAGCCCACATATCCCTCTGCAAGCAGAAAGTCATTTCCATGCTGCTTCATGGTCTCTGTGGCTCAGGCTGAAGCTCAGCCCTCTGCCCTCCCCACAAGGGCTTGCATGCACAACAAGCCAGGGAAGCCCATGGGGTGTGTGTGTGTGTGTCCATGCCAGCACCTGGCTGCTGGCAAGGAACTGAGGCTTCCCATGGTGGGTGGGAAGCTGTGGGGACAGGCACGTCCCCTCCAGGGAAGGCCGCAAGTGTTGCCATGGCTCCTTCCCTGGGCCTGGGGCCACTTACCCGCAGTTGTCCCATGTCCCGTGTGCCAGCCCAGCCACGGTCAGCAGGACGAGGAGGCTGAGCCAATTCATGGCTGCCAGAGGCACGTGTCAGCTGCAAGCACTGAGAGCTCCGTGCAGCAGCACAGTCACAGCCGCACTGCCCACAGCAGCTGCGCTGCCCGTGGTGCCTCGGGGCTGATGTCACAGGGTGGGGGGTTCTGTGTTCCAGGCACCATGGGGTTCTGTGGCACAGGGACCCACTGGGGGAGGGGAAAAATGGAATCGGTGAGCCACAAAATGGTTTGGTATGGAAGGGACCTTGGTGATCATTTAGCTCCAACCCCCTTGCCTTGGGCACAGAGGGATGGCCTTCACTAGAACCAGTTGTCTAGAGCCTGGCTCAGAAGTTGTACTTGAACAGTTTGAGGAATGGGGCATCCACAGCTGCTCTGGGCAACCCGTGCCTTTGCCTCAGTACTGTCACAATCAAGATTTCCTTCCTATGATCCCAGCTGAATCTGCCCTTATTGTAGCACAACGTGGGAATAATGAGCATTTGACTCCATGATTGCAGAAGGCTGATCAATTGCTTTATTATACTATACTATACTATACCATACTATTAAGAAAAACCCATTTCCCATGCCAGACTGTCATGACACACACATGGATCCAATTGGTCAATGCATCCAAAATACCATCACCAGAGTTCAATTTAAAAAATCACCCTTTGGTAAAAAAATCTCCATAACACATTCCACATGTGCACAACAACACAGTGCAGAAAGTGGAGATAAGAATTGTTTCTCATTCTTTTCTCTGAGCTTTCCCACAGCTTCCCAGGAAAAGCCTCGGAGAAAGCTATGTCTCTCTCTGTTTAGAGGATATGTGATTACCAACACCCTCTGTCCCTGTAAAGCCATTGCCCCTTGTCCTTTTAGGACCTGCCCTTGTAAGAAGGCTCTCTGCTGCTTTCTTAGGCCCCTCTTCCTGCAGGATGAGGCTGTGTAGTCCCTGGGGCAGGCAGCAGCTGAGGAATCCATTTGGGGCAGGGAGCTGGGTGTGCAGCTGCAGTGCCAGCTGCAGACTGAGCTCTGGCTGGCAGGAGCCTGGGACCAGAAGCTGTGAACTGCCCATGCTTTGCATAACAGAGGGCACAGGGAGCTGTGGCACTGGCCAGGATTTGAATGGACACTGAGCACTGCAGCAGGAGCTGGTGGCTCTTTATGGAATGTGACATCTGCGAGTCTGCTGGGGGAATCCTGAGGCTGAATGGGTATGGAAACCTGCTCTGACTGGGTGAGAATCGCATGGGTAGGGAATCAAACAGGGCAACCATAGGCTCGTTGGAGCCACCTGTGTCTCTGGAATGGCGACACAGGGGAGTTTCCTCAGTACTTTGGCAGCCCAGATGGGACCTAATGGCACCACTGCTGGAGTATCTGTCAAGAGCCTTGGTGTTGCAGGTAGTGTTGGCCCACTCACCTTGGCCTTCCACGGCATTCCTGGTGTGCTTTCCTGGGGTTCCTGCCAGGTTTCTCTCCCCAGAATGACCCCAGCTCTTCCTCTGAGTATCTGTGAAGTGTGACCACCTGGCACCTCAATGCCCCTTTGCTGCCTGTGAAATCTGCCTCTGCCTTAGGGCACTGGCACTCCAGTCAGGAGCCAGGAGTTTCCCTTGTCATGCTTGGGAGTTTCCCAGATCTGTTCCCTTAGCCCAGGCTCTCACCAGGCCCTAAATCAGCAGCCCATGTGCATTTGAGCACCACCCCAAGGTATGTGCTTTTTTCCTATCCTCTTCCAAGGCTTGAGGTAGCAGGTTCTTCCAGGCCATGGTGGCTCAGAGCACTTTCCTCTCTGACCAGGCACTCTGGCTGTGAGTGGCTCTTTGGAGCTACTCTGTCCCTTTGTGCCTGGCACATCTGCCCTCATGCTCATTCTGCAGTTGCCAATTGTGGCAGTCCTCACTTTGCCCCGGAGTTGCAATTGCACTGATAAGATGGTTCCCTGTGAACAGAGGCAACTTTACTTCAACAACTAAGTCATTTCCAGTGTCTGCGAGCACACAGGAGTGTGGTCAGGATAGAGCAGGGTTTTGACCCTGAGGCTGCCTTTGGATCAGCAAGCATTTCCCCAGCAGAAAGTACTTGTTCTGCACTGCAATGTGCTCTGGATTCTGCCCATCCAGCTGTTCAGGAAGCACTTCCAAATGGGCTCAGGCCCATCTGGGCCAGAATCCAGTCATAGAAGTACTGAGTGGAGGTGTAGACTCCGGGCAGCTTTGCTCTGGCGCAGCCTTTTCCCCAGCTGGTCACTCCGATGACCCACCAGGAGTCAGCGTTGTTGTCCTGGCACATGAGAGGACCACCGCTGTCACCCTGCAGCAGAGCACAGAGGATTCAGGTGGTGATGGGTGGCTCTGTCAGCACTGGGGCTGTCTCCTTCTCTCTCACAGCCCATGCCAGAACTGTCTTCAGGTGCTGGAGCCTCCAGAAGCTTGGCTCTGAATGAGTTAGGTTCCTGTAGGGTAGGGCTCTCTCTATCCTATCTGCACAGGACTCCTGGATGTGCAGAAGATGGAACTTTGGCACCTGGACCTCTTCACTGCCAAGAGCACTAGCTGGCCTTTCTGGGCTTTCTGGCACAAGGGGAGGCCTGGGCAGGCAGGTGTGGATGGGCAGTGTGTGGGAAGCCCCCACAGCAGTCAGGGGGAGCTGGGGCTGGGAGGGTGAGTGAGTGGCCAGGCAAAGCAGGCCCTGGGCTGTGTTGGGGTGGTGCTTCCCTGGCTGCTGGTGCTGCTGGGGGCTGAGTGGCTCGTGGCACGTTCCTACCTGGCAGGTGTCGATGCCGCCCTCTGGGTAACCAGCACACAAGTTGTAGGTGTGAATTTCCCCTGCATTCCAGCCAGTGCTGTTGCAGAGCTGGACATCGATGAGCTGGACCTTGGCCTCCTGGAGGTGATCACTTGAGTCTTCATCTGTGAGCAGAGAAAGGAATGAGCTCCCAGCTGCTCCTTGCCAGTTCTCCCCTTCCCCTGCATGGAGGGGATACCCTTCCCTTGGTAGCTTTGCCTCTGCAGAGGCACTGGGGCTCTGTGATCCTGCTACCAGCCTTTGGAGAGCAGTCCAGGCCCATCTCTGCAGAGGTGTACATCCTGCAGCTTGGGTATGGCTCTGCTCTGGGGAAGCCCAAGCTGTCTCCTCAGTGTGATGAGCTAGCTCTGCAGGCAGGAGTCTCTCTTGGGAACTCACCTCCTTCTGAGGTTAAACCCCAACCAGCAATCCAGCAGTTTTGCAGCTCTGAGACTCTTAGGGTGGGGTCAGCCACACAGGCCAACTGGATGTAAGGGCTGCACTGGACAGGCTCATTCAGTTCTAGCAAGGCAATATCATTACTTATATCACTTCTCTTGTATTTTTTGTGACGAAATAGCTTCTTAATCTTCCGCACTTGTGCCCCAGGGCCTGGCTGAGTCAACTGGGTGGCCCCAATCACCACATTCAAGATGCCGATTCTCCTGAAAGGAAGATGAAGAGGGGGCTGTGAGGGAGCAGAGCCATGTGCCACAGCAGCCCAGCAGTTGCCAGACCTCTGCTTGGCAAGGCAGAGAGGGAGTAGTGCTCTGGCAGGTGTGAGGGTCCTCACACGCCTTAGGCCAGGGGAATGTCAAGCTGGAGGCTGCTAGGAAGCCTTGGCATGAGCCCAGGCTTCTCCTGAGCACAGTGGCAGCCTGGCTGCCTGAGAGGAAAGGGCATGGGAGTAGCAGGTGATGCTGCTGGCAGGGCACCTGCTGGTGTTGTGGACATGTCCCCATTCCCTGCTCCTCCTTACTTGATCCTGTCAAAGCAGTGGGCTGCTGTGAGGACCCACTCTGCACTGACGAGGGACCCTCCACACCAATGCTTTGAGCCTGGTATCCTCGGATGCTGGATGCTGACCATCCATGGCCAGGCCCCTGGCTTGGCACCTGTGCCACCCACAATACGTGTCATGCCGTCATCATGAGGTATGGAGTCAGACACCATTGGTCGGAGGCCACAAGTCCATCTGCAAGCAGAAAGTCATTTCCATGCTGCTGTGGCTCAGGCTGAAGCTCAGCCCTCTGCCCTCCCCACAAGGGCTTGCACGCACAACAGGCCAGGGAAGTCCATGGGGTGTGTGTCTGTCTGTGCCACCTCGTGGCTGCTGGCAAGGAACTGAGGCTTCCCATGGTAGGTGGGAATCTGTGGCCTGGCCATGGGGGACAGGCACGTCCCCTCCAGGGAAGACCGCAAGTGTTGCCATGGCTCCTTCCCTGGGCCTGGGGCCACTTACCCGCAGTTGTCCCATGTCCCGTGTGCCAGCCCAGCCACGGTCAGCAGGACGAGGAGGCCGAGCCAATTCATGGCTGCCAGAGGCACGTGTCAGCTGCAAGCACTGAGAGCTCCGTGCAGCAGCACAGTCACAGCCGCACTGCCCGCAGCAGCTGCACTGCCCGTGGTGCCCCAGGGCTGATGTCACGGAGAGGTGGGTTCCACGTTCTGGGCAGTGTGCGGATCCGTGACTTGGGGGTCATGGAGGGTGGAACAACATTGAATCAAAGAACCATAGAATGTTTTGGGGTACAAGGGACCTTGGAGATCCTCTAGGTCTGACCCTCCTGCCATTGGCAGAGAGGGATAGCTTGTACTAGACGCTGTTGCTCAGACCCTGGCTCAGAAACTTGTTCTCATGCACTCTGAGTGTTGGGGCATCCACAGCTGCTCTGGGCAACCCATTTTGGTGCCTCCACAACCTCATAGTCAAGAATTTCTTCCTAATATCTAATCTAAACCTACCCTCTCTCCTTTTGAAGCCTTTCCCTTTTGTAATTTTTTGTGTTGAGCCCAAATAAATCATTACCTGGATTTTATATAGTGTAAATCTGTATATAGCCTAATTATCTATTTTTGTAAACTGCATTAAGACCTTTGTTCAGCAGCATGTATTTCAATGCAAATTATTATTCTTACTGGAAATGTATTGTTAATTTTGGCTATTAAGTGTTTATCTGAATGTCTTTAGGAACTTCGCTTAAAATTATGTCAGATGTTTTTCAAAACATAGTTTTGTTTTCTGTAGCCATCCATATATGTATAATGAATCATTAAAAATTTGGAACTATTGAACTTCTAATAAACACATGAAGGGTTATTGCATAGCCCAAGTGTTAATATGAGTCTATATGCACTCAAGACTGTCTTGAAATATCAGGTTATTTGCTGAGTATTCATTGCCTTATTTTATGCTTTCATTGGTATCTTGGTAGTTTTTAACTTGACTTCATGTACAGCAAACCAGACAGAGATATGACAGTCTTACACTCTTCACTATTCTCTAATGAGGAAAGTTTTCATAATGCCATGAAAGCTTCACTAAAGAATGACAAACCATGTTGTTAATTAAATTTCTTCCATACTCTTTATTAATTCAATTGACATTACTAGTGACTGTGCATGTTACAATTCTAAAATGTCATTAAATAGTTTTCTTTACAGGCTTTATAAGTTTACTTAGAGCGTCTGCAAATTCACCAGCCTCTTGTCTCAACTTTTCCCACACTGTGACCTTGTTTTTGAAGAGGATCCTTCCTATTACTACACATCATTTAATTCTATGCTTGTTCAGAAAAACAGTATTGAACAACTCTCTATTGAATAACCACAGGATTATTCATCTGCTTAAATTCAAGTCTAACCTGTGTATTGCCTGAGGAGCCACAGATTTGAAATGTAAACATAAAATGTTCTTGTAGTTGCCAAGGGCAAAATTACTGAGCCCTGATTACTTGTCCTGGGTTCAGAGGAAAAGACAGATGGAGTTTCTAGCACTCTTTAATTCAATACCACCTAGCTCATTGTGGAGCCATGGTATTAGCAGGAAATCTGGGGTCCTGGAAGCAGAAAGCTCCTCATCTTTCTGCCAGGCTTGTGGAAGGGGCTGGGACTGCGTGGCTGCTCAGCACCCAGATAAAGCCACCATGGCCACTGTAGAGTCCCATTGCTGCCACCTCAGGTATATTTTATATAGAATGAATTATTCATTATGACATATTAGTAGATGAAAGATCTTAACTAATACAAAAGTTAAAACTACTAGTAGTGTATAGTACAGGGTAATATAGGGCACTGTATCAAAGCAATTATATTAAAGCTAGCAAAAAGAAACAATGCCAGGCTCTCTCCAGGAAGTGTTTGTGTTTGTTCCATGCTGAATACCCTCTTGTGGGTATTGCCTCTTTTGTGCCCTCTTTTATTTGTATTGCATTTATTACAAGCTTTTCAGTAAAATTGTGATTCCTGCTAGTGTTTTGTCACTTGTTGGAAGAGGGTGGAGGAGGAGATGCAGTTCAGTGGGGTTAACTTTCCCGCTAGGTTTTAAACCAGCACATCACTACAACAAAATAGAACAGCTGAAGACATCAAAAAGTTGTCAGGGTAAATTAAAGCCAGTTTCTTTGCATATCTCACAAGAGATTTTCTGGCCTTGATAACCAGAGACTGTTATAGTCTCTGCCTTTAGGGCAATCCAACTGGAGCCCATTTGGCATGAAACTTCTCTTAGTAAAAATTCGTTTCATCTTAGAAGGTATTTAAGGACCACGTAGAAGACCTAGACCACAAACCAAACTTGCAGAATAACTTGGACTTTCTCAGTTATTTCTGCTTTTCTCAGTTATATCTGCTTTTAGCTACATAAGACACACATTGCTATCTATCACCTAAAAGAGCCCTGTGAGAAAACAAGGAAGAGTTCTTATATACATATATATATATATATATGTGTATGTGTAAACATATAAAGGCTAGTCAAGTAAGATCCATTAAAAATTTGTCAAGTCTTATGCATAGGGGAATTTGTATTTCCTCGGGGTCCAGAAAACATCCCTTGGTGTTCTTCCCACACATTCTTTTTTCTCCTTACCTGAAGAGGAGGTTTTGGAGGCTGCAGGTCAGCTATCAGCATTGTACCAATGTCACTTCACAGCAAATCTCAATCATCGTAATTGCTGCTGTCTCTCAGATGCTGCAGTGTTCAGAGAAGGAAAAGAAATGGGTTGACATTAAATCTAAATAAAAGCTTTGTATTTGCAAGAGCCATCAAGACTGAAAGGAACCCTGTGCATAAAAGGTGTTTTCTATTCATCGAAGTAACATGGGGGTTTTGGGCTGTGCTGGTTCAATATTAGGTCTAGAAGGTAAAATCCAGCTGAGGGAGTTGGGGTGTTTAGCCTGGAAAAAAGGATGTTCAGGGATGATCTCATAGCTCTCTCATAGCTACTTGAGAGGAGCTTGTGGAATGGTGGGCGATGGCACTTTTTTCCCAGGCAGCTAGAGACAGAACAAGATTAAATAGCCTCAAGCTGCGACAGGAGAAGCTTAGGTCGGTCGTCGGGAGGGAACTCGTCCCAGAAAGCGCGACTGAACATGGCAATGGCGCGCCCTGGAGGGCGGTGCCCTCAGCGCTCCCACCTCAGCACCGCCCCTTCGGGCCCGCCCCCCGTGGCGCATGCGCCGTCCGTGGGGCCGCGCCGGGCCGGAGGGAAGTGGCCGAGCGTTTCCGGGTTGGGCGGCGGCGGCTCTACCGGCGACGGGAGCATGTCCTGCGCCCTTGTGCCCTTCGCCCACTTCCAGGACCTGGAGTTGGCCCGCGACTTCCTGAGCCCGCACCGCCGCCAGGGCAGCGCCGCGGCTGGCAAGGAGAGCGGTGAGTCCGGCCCCCGCTGCGGGGCTGTGCCCGCCGCCCCCGCGGGGCCCGTCCGGCCGCGGGGCTGTCTGTCTGTCCCTGCGGGCCCTGCGCTCGCTCGGCGCCGCGCTGCCAGCGCCGGCCCACTGGCGGGGGGCCGTGTTATCCGAGTGTTCGGGGTCGCTCCTGTGGCGCAGGGTGGGTGTTTCGCCATAGCTGCCACATCTCCACCTGCAAAATCGGACTTTCCTGGCGTCCAGAAGTTTCAGGTGCGCAGCTGTTCGCAGGCGTCACTCCTTATCCCGTAGTGTGGAGGTGAAGTTCTTTGGCTACTGACCTTGCGTGCCCCAAACTTCAAAAGTTTGTAGGTTTCTTGCTGGGAGTGCACCTGCCTGAAGACGCTCTCCTAAAGACAGCACGTTGTGCATGCAAGGTTATCTAGGAGGGCAGAACGTGCTGAAAGTGTACTAAAGGTTTAGCTTGGCAGCTTAAATTAAAAGACAACGAATCCTAAAGCAGTTACAGTCTGAAGTTGTGGACCAGGTTTCTGCTGTGTGAGGCAGTGCAGGCTGAGCTGCCTGACACAGAAGCTGCGTTTTCAAGAGATCCATGCCCCAGCTAGAAACCACAAGGAATTAAAACGCTTGTATTTGTTATTGCATACTGTGTTAACTGTATGCTGTGTGTATATAGATGTTAACCCCCCAAAATACACAAACTATTGCTGAGTGATGTTTTTTGGTTTCTGGCAACAGTAGGGAAGGAAAGTGTTTGAAGAGGTTAATGAGGATGCTTGTAAATAATCCTCACAGCTGTGGACAGAGCTTTAAGAGAAAACATCGAGGTGCTTATTTTAAAAGTCTAAAGTGCCTGTGGGGGAATTAGAAGAGGGGAGACCATAGGATGGTTTGTGTTTAGACTGACCTTTAAAGTTAATCTAGTCCAACCCCCCTGCCATGGGCTGGGACACTTTTCACCAGACCAGGCTGCTCAAAGCCCTATCCAGCCTGTCTTTGAGCATTTCCAGAGATTGGGCATCCACAGCTTCTCTGAGCAACCTGTTCTAGTTCCTCATCTTCTTTATTATTAAAAAATTAAACTTCATAATATACGATAGAAATCCATTTCCCATTTAAAGCCATTGGTCCTTATCCTGAAACTAGAGGTCTTGTTAAAAAGATGACACAACAATTGTTAAAAACCTTTAAAAGTACATTATATGTTCATTTAATTAATTTTGCCACTAAAACTTTTGGGAGTAAACAGTTTTCTGCTGCTGCTGTTTTGTAACTCCAACAGTTTTTGAAAAATGCATAACAAGTTCCACATGGCTTTTGTTTTGTATCATTTGCATCTAAAGAAAAGATTCTGAAGCAGAAGGCTTTGGTTAGTATCTCTTGAATTCTGAAGATAAAAGCGGAGACTTTGTGTTTGTGTTTCTAAAAGTAGGTGTTGAAAGAAATTAAATTTTTTTTCTCTTATTTGATGATACATGAGAGGTGTTTGTGTAAAAAAAACTTGGCTGTTTTATTGAAGTGGATTTGTCAAGTTGCAGCCATAAAGAGAGAATGTTTAGTATGTTGTAAAACTACCAAAATAATAGAAGCAAAGAAGAATGCATGGCTGCTGTTCCATTTTAATGAATTGGCTGTCTTCTGGACTATTTTTATATTTGCTTATT